TCAAACTTGAGCAAAAATTCAGCCTTTAATCGTTGGGTAATTGACGGACACATTATATATATATATATATATATGCGCCAACTGTATAAGCACCTTTATGATCATATAAGCAAGACAGATAATCAAGTAGCTAGGCAAATCCAAGGACTAATTTTAATTGAATTTTTATGTATACATATATATATATATATATAAATATATAAAAGTAGTAATAACGGATTAGAGTTTTTTTGGGTTAAAATAGAATAAAATTAGTTTATTAAATCAAAATTAAATTATATAATTGGTAAAACTATTTTATAGTCAATTAAAATAAAATTATATTATATTATCATATAATTTTTTTTTTCTCGACCGACCTACAATGACAAATGGGGAAAGAAAAAAAAACAATTTTCGATATTTAATTTTGACTTCGAGTCAATAAAATAAAATTAAAAAAAAAATTTGTAAATGTAAAAATATTACATAATTCTTATTATTTTATTATGCAATATAAAATATATCCGCCTAAAAGAAGACCCTTTCATTTCAAGAGCGGCCCATTATCTACCAAATTCAAAATCAGATCCAAACCCAAATCCAAATCCAAATCCAAATCCAAATCCAAATCCAAATCCGAAAATTTTCTCCTGCTTCTGTCATATAGTTAGGGTTTGGTTTCTCGATTCTCTGCAACGACGAACGCTAAAGAAGAAGGAAGCAACAAAAGTACCCAAGAAGAAGGGAGTATTTCGATTCCGGTGTCGGTATTCGGGAGCGAGAGAGATGTGGCACGAAGCGAGAAGATCGGAGAGGAAAGTGCACGACATGATGGACGCGGCTCGTAAGAGAGCGCAGAGGAGAGCCGTTTATTTGGCGAAGAGGCGTGGAGATCCTCAGCAATCAATTCAGGTCATTGGCTCTCGCTGCCGTGTCTACCGAGACGATGGCCTCTACCAAGCTACACAGGACCAGCAAGGCCTGTACGATTCCTCATTCCCTCTTTGCGTATTCGCCTTTTGTTCATCATCTTCAAATTTGTCTGTATTTTTAGTTTTTATGTAGAATCTATCTGTTTATAGTCTTTTATTTCTTTTCCTCTCGTAAAACATGAGTGTATCGTTGCGGACTTGGATGATCAATCAAGGTTTTGTGCGTCATCAGTGGCTAGCGAACTGGGATAATTTGTTCATTACCAGATTATTTTGAAAGACCACATACGTATATGCAAATTTAGATGCTATGCAGCAATTAATTGGGGTCCCCGTGGGGCTCGTCCATTTGGTTCAAATTTCGATTCTTCTGTCCACTAGTTCAGTTGTGCAATTTCTGCGCTACGTCGTAATTCCTGAATATCTTTTCTGTCGTTAAATTTGGATTAATGTTTAACTTTTTTGCAGAATACCTTGGAATGGGAAGCAGGATGTCTTGATAGATAGGTAGGTTACAGCTCCAGATTATTGTTTGATTTAGGTAATCTATTTCTGTGTGAGATTGAGCAAGTAATGGTATCTTTGTCTGTACTTAGATTTGATGGTCGTGCCCTGCTTGATTTTATACGGGAGCCTGGGTCCCGTAGTTTTCGTACCCAGCAGAAGTCTGAAGAAGAGGAAGAACTAGAAGAGTTTGTTAATTTTGAGCGTTATCGGGATTTAATTAAGCTTCGACGTAGAGGATGTCGGTACTTTTTTTATTTTCTGATAGTGTCCTTATTTCTTGTGCAATTGAATTGATTTCTTCTTTGTGTTCTGTTTATAACAAAGTATATAAGAGAAAGGCTATCCACTTTGACGTCTAACTGTGGTAGGAGTTACAAGTTATGCTTTGTACATTAACAGATAATGATGAGGAGGGTTTGCAACATGTAAATCAAGAGCTGGAGGCAAAGGTTGTAGCACCATTTTTCTCAGAGAGGTTTGGTGTCTCTCTCCTTGTAATTTCATTGACAGGATTATTTTCCATTCCCCATTGTGGATTAACAAGTAAATGGTCAATTATTTGGGCTCCTTGTCACCTCTAATCAATTTTAGCACTTTACAGCAAAGTAGGAGACTAATATGAAAATTATATTTGTAATGCATCATGTATCTTTCCCTTAATGGCATTTGGTCGATTTGGCATTTGCAGTTGAATTCATTGCTCTAAATGTAAAATGTACTTGTGGTCCATTTTTGAACTTCGCAATAAACTGTGAGACTGATAAGAAAATATATTCATAATGCAATATGTAACTGGCCATGTAGATGTATGACTAGTTAGTTCTTGCTATTTGTCGTTCCCATAATAATTTGGTTGATTTGGCATTTTTGGTCGAATTCATTCTTCTAATGGAACATGTACTTATATGACTTGTATCAATTTTAGAACTATACGACAGACTGTGAGATCGATATGAAAAATACATTCGTAGTGCATTATGTTTCGAGCCATGTAGATACTGGATATTTAGTTCTTATTGTTCGGTGTTCTGTAATGGCATTTGGTTGCTTTATCAATTGTACTTGAACTCATTGCTCTGGTGGAAGGTGTTCTAATGGCTATTATGAGTGGATTTTTAACCTTTATGTGTTGCCGCCTTATTATTTTTATGAATATTCTGTAGACCTCAGCCAGCACAAACTCCTGCAAGCAAAGGCTCGTATTCACAGGTTGGGTTCTCTTATGATGGAAATGCAAAAGAGGAAGCACACTTGTCAGATGCAGAGGATGACGAGGATGATGACGATGATGATGAAGAAGATGATGATTTTAATAGTGATGATAGCAATGATGAGGGGATGGATATAATTGGGAAAGAATTTGGAGTGAAAAGATATGGTTGGCTTGTTTATATGGATAAGAAGGCTAAGGAGGAAGAAAAAAGGCAAAAGGAAGTGATCAAAGGCGATCCTGCAATTGTAAGTTCATAACAACTGTAGATTGAAAATCAACCTTTTTTTAGAACCAAAAACCTGGATGATATGTGATAGGGTTGAAATTTCTGGATATTTAGAGGAAGCTAAGTCGCAAGGAAAGAAGAA